GGCGAGATCCTACAACATCAGTTTGAACGGGCACACTTTGCTGGTGATAATGAGTAAATATTGTGACGATTTTTGTTGGAGAGATTGATGAGAGATTCAATTAGTATAAGCTTGTGTGCTTTTGTCATGTGGTGAAAAGCTAAAAAAGCATTTGACATATTTACTCTTATTCTTTTCAGGCATCCAAAGAGTTTCAGTTCAATACTGAACTTCTATCGGACTGGAAAATTGCATTTAGTTGACGAAATGTGCGTGTTGGCGTTCAGTGATGACCTGGAGTATTGGGGAGTGGATGAACTGTACTTGGAGTCGTGTTGTCAGCACAAATACCATCAGAGGAAGGAGCACGTCCATGAAGAGATGAGGAAGGAAGCGGAGAGTCTCCGACAACGGGAGGAGGAGGAATTTGGCCAGGGAACTTGTGCGCAGTACCAAAAATGGTTGTGGGATTTACTCGAGAAGCCAACGACGAGTATCGCCGCCAGGGTAAAGTATTTAATATAATCGAAGCCTTGTTATACAGTTTACATATATTTATGTGTCTTAAAATAGTAAAGCTGCCCAGGATTTGATTATTTTCTCATAAGTCAAAGGTACAGGGTTAAGTTTTGAGATGTTTAGGTGATAAGTAGTTAGCAGCTTTTTGTTTATTGTTAGTTATTTAAAAGGACATCGCACAAGCATAATTAATTGTTAACTTTCGAATTTAGAATCCATTGATTTGAAATTTGAACACCATTTATAAGCTTAATTGTAGTAGGTACACTTTACACTATCACTGTATTTTCTAAGATCTTAATTACAGACTCTTTCAAAATTCACGTTTCATGGTTTTTATCACAATTTTCATACTCTATATTTCCACTTTTTATAATCACCTTTGTTCAACACAAGATAAACACGTTATTGTTACAATAATTTTAGAATTGAACGTTTTCACAAAAAACTGACAATTATTAACTTCCAAGAAACATGTTTTTATATAACAATTGTCCTTATTGTATGAATTTTACAGGGTGTTTCTAAAAGAATTTACTTAAAAAAATATCGTTTGTTTTTCTAAAGTTTGTGATATTTAAAATGTCAATTGCCAATGATGTGCTCGGCTTCTTTAACAATTTTCAAATTGAAGTAATATTTTTTAGATGCATCCAATTATTTAAGTGTTGTGTTTGTGGTGCATGAATAACATCTATCTGTCTCTCTGTCTGTCTGTTTGTATTTATGTTTAATGTTGTCGGATCGTGTCGCTCGTTTCGTTAAAGAATGCGATGTTATGCTCGATGTTGTGATGTTTATATGATCGCTTTTGTCGAAATGTCTTACAATATTGTAGGCAATTAGAATCTTTGTGCGGAAATATTTTATATTGTTTCGACAACGGCGGTGCAAGAGAACAATGTAAGTATCAGAATAATTTTGAATTATTAAGTTTCCGTACACTTTACTTAGTTTCAGTTCAGATTTACATATTTTGTATTAATATAAATATATTTTTTATGCTTACCTTTTACTTTAATTTTACGTTTTTCACACATTTGTTATATTTTTTTTTGTTGAATCAAATGATATTAAATAATAAATAATTATAATAGTAATAGTTAGTAATTTAAAAATTTCAAAACTATTTTCAACTTTTATATAATTCAAATAAGTGATGATTTCGATAATGCTGTTTACAAACAAATACGGAGATTCCAAATGGCGTAGACTATTCACGCGTAGCACAAGCTATTTCTGCGTAGCATCGTAGCAATGCTCTACAGATCAAACTATAATATAATACAAAAACAAACATAAAAATAACAATTATTATAAATCTTGTTGCATCTAGATTACGACTGTGTTGTAGACACGTGTATATGAAGTTTTAAAGAGTAGTTTTAAAGAAAGTAAATGTCCCTCCCTTATAGCCATAATTTTTCAGTAAAATTTAAAATTACATGATAATTGTTTTTTTTCTTTTAGAAGTTTTTCTTTTTGTTCTTATTAATTTTCTTGCGATACTAAAGAGTATGCTGACGCGGATTCTGCGTTAGCAGAGCTATCTATTACAAATAACTTTTGATGTTCACAGCCGCGTCGATGTTCACAAAAGGAGCATATTTAAAATGAAACAAAGCTTAATTGTTGTCGCAAAAAAGCAAAATAGGGGATGGGCTTACGCAATGTGACCAGCCGCCGCCGGCGTCGCTAG